CACCCCTCACGCGGCTGAAACTCTGGTCCACACCTTTATCACCTCAAGGCCGGACTATGGGAACTCTCTCCTCGTCGGCCTTCCCGGCCCTCCCTCCACACTGCAGCTCATCCAGAACTCTGCAGCTCGTGTACTGTCCCGCACCAGACACCGCGACCACATCACTCCCACCCTCACCCTCACCCTCGCCCTCACCGACACTCCCACCCTCACCCTCACCCTCGCCCTCACCCTCACTCCCACCCTCACCCTCACTCCCGCCCTCACCCTCACCCTCGCTCGCCTCCACTGGCTTCCCATCCCCCAGAGGATCAAATTCAAGATCCTCATCCTCACCTACAAGGCCATTCACGGCCTCGCTCCCTCCTACCTCTCCAACCTACTATCCCCCTCCCTACCCGCCCGTACCCTCCGTTCCTCTGGCTCCGGTCTGCTCCACATCCCCCGCCCCAACCGCCCGACCATCGGTGGTTGGGCCTTCAGCCTCTCAGCCCCGAGGCTTTGGAACTCCATCCCCAGTGCCTTCGCCGCTTCCTCCCTTTCCTCCTTCAAGGCCGGTCTCAAGACCGTCCTCTTTGACCTTCAGCCTTCACCTCCCCTCTCGACACTCTACCCCCTCGTTGCTCCCTCCCTTCCCTCCCTCCCCTCACCCTGACCATTTCCCCCCAATGCTCGGGTCCCGACCCAACTGTCCAGTGCCTTGGGATGTCCTCCCGACGTGAAAGACGCTCTGAAATCTTGTTGTTGTTGTTCCTGTTGTTGCCTAAGGTTTCGCCCTGACCTGACCTGCACAGGAATTGAACCCAGGTCCTCTGGCTTGTGAGGCGAGGGCTCTAACCACTACACTTGTCCTGTAGCTCAGTGGCTTGAACACTCGCCTCACAACCACGAAACCCTGGTCTACAAAACGTGAGAAGGCGCTATATCAAATGCAAAGATTATTATTATTACGCGACAGGACTCCATCTTCAATAGAAGCTTTACTCACCGAGGCACGAAGGGACTGAGTTAAAGTTTGGGAAATTCTGTTTGTGATTTACCGTCTTGACTGGACCAGAAACTCCTATGCACTAATTGCACAACACTTTGCTATTTACTAACTTGATAATCTCTAACTCACTCCACCATCCAACCTCACACCAAACCAAATCAAGCACATCAAGTCCTTACCCGCACCAAACTCCACACTCCCAGTCACTGGGGGCAGGGAATCCCCCCTCAGCTCCTGTTAACCCCACAGCCAAAGTCTTAACTAACTAACTAATGGGGAGGGGGGTCCGAGCGGGACAACCCGTGGGAAAGCTCGGCCAGACTGCGCTCTCTCTCTCTCTCTCGCTCTCTCTCGATGGCCGAGCTCTGTGTGGGTTTAGTTGGTTAGACTCCAGCAGTTACCCCAACGCACACTCTGGGCTCACCCCCCCCAGCCTTGGCTCTCCCCAACCTGCGCCTAATACTCTCCGGAATTAGGTATTAGGAGGTGTGCCTCCAGGGAGAGAGAGAGAGAGAGAGCGCATCCCATCCCGACAATCTCTCTCTGGGGTTCCCGGGTGTGGAGGGGATGTGGGGAATTCTCAGTCGGGTTTGGAGACTCTTAAGCCACAGTGACGGGTTTCCGTGTGTGACAGACACCCGACCGGTCACGGTGACGGGTTTCCGTGTGTGTCAGACACCCGACCGGTCACGGTGACGGGTTTCCGTGTGTGTGTGTCAGACACCCGACCGGTCACGGTGACGGGTTTCCGTGTGTGTGTGTCAGACACCCGACCGGTCACGGTGACGGGTTTCCGTGTGTTTCAGACACCCGGCCGGTCACGTTGACGGGTTTCCGTGTGTGTCAGACACCCGGCCGGTCACGGTGACGGGTTTCCGTGTGTGTCAGACACCCGACCGGTCACGGTGACGGGTTTCCGTGTGTGTCAGACACCCGACCGGTCACGGTGATGGGTTTCCGTGTGTGTCAGACACCCGGCCGGTCACGGTGACGGGTTTCCGTGTGTGTCAGACACCCGGCTGGGCAAAAAAACGGACATGTGTTATCTGTGGGGCGAGGGGGACTCGCTGAGAGTACAGTCATTGTCTCTTCATCTTGTGTGCGTGCGAGTGTGTACACGTGTGTTTGTGTGGTTTTCAGCCAATCTGCTGATCTACTGCGCCTGCAGAGAGAGAGAGAGAGAGAGAGAGAGGGAATGGGGGGGTGGGGGGTGGGGGCTAAGAGGCGTCTCGCCACATCCTGAACATTTCAGATGAAATTAAGAACTTCGAGAAATTACGTGACCATTTGGCAGAAATCGAGAGAGAGAGAAAGACAGAGAACGGGGGAGAGAGACAGAGACTGAGTGTAAGAGAGAGCGGATCAGGTGAGGAGGGAGCGATTCATCTCTCTTTCGTGCGGAGTCGGTCACAGACTTTGTGGCAATCGGCGTGAGATTCCCACAAACCGTGAGTACACCGGCCTCGTGTTTGTACAACAACAATAATAATCCCGGCATTTGATCCGGCACCTGATCACGTTTTCGAAACGTCTCAAAGTGCTTCACGGGATACACTGTAAAGTGTAGTGACTGTGTGTCTTGTGGACAAAACGCGGCAGCCAATTGCGCCCGGCGACGTCCCCACAAACAGTCGTGGGTTGAGTGACTGATTTTATTTGGGGGATTGTCAGCCAAGACATTAGGAGAGAGAAACAATACACAACATTTACACAGAACCTTTCACGTCAGGAGGATGTCCCGAGGCGCTGGACAGTCAGGGATTTGCACCCGAGCTGGAGGTTGGGATCAGGAGTGGGCTGGAGGACGGGGAGGGTGGGGGGAGGAGGGTGACTGAAGGCGCGGTTGGTCGAAGAGGAGGGTCTTGAAATGGGCCTTGAAGGAGGTGAGGGAGGGAGTGAGCGAGGTGGAGGGTGTGGGATGGAGTTCCAGAGCGTGGGGAGAGAGAGACTGAAGGTCTGACCGGCAACGGTGGGGGGGGTGGTAGCGGTGGTGGGAGTGGGGTGGGGGGGACATGGAGCAAGCCGGAGCCCACTAAACAGAGGGAGCAGACAGGTTGATATGGAGTTAGCAGGTCACAGAGGGTAGATAGGGTGGGGAGTGAGACTGTGGAGGGTTTTTGAAGGCAAGGACCAGGATTTTGAACACTATCCTCTGAGGGATAATAATAAATAATAATAATAATAATTCTTGCATTTGATATAGCGCTTTTCACGTCGGGAGGACGTCCCAAAGTGCTTCACAGAATACACTGTAAAGTGAATTGACTGTATATTTGTGGGCGAACGCGGCAGCCAATTGCGCACAGCAATGTCCCACAAACAGTCGTAGATTGAAAATGACCAATTTATTATTGTTTTGGTTTTGGAGGATTATTATTAGGGCTCTGTGTGGAGTAAGGAAACTTGCCCGAGGTTTCGCCCTCTGCCTGGAATTGAACTCAGGTCTCTCACTTGCAAAGCGAGTGCTCTAACCACTGAGTTACAGGATGGGGAACCAGTGGAGCCGGGCGAGGGTGGGGGTGATGGGGCCACGGAGCCTGGTGCGGGAAAGGACATGGACTGTAGAGTTCTAGATGACCTGCAGGGAATGTGGAAGGAAGGGTTAGGGAGACCGACAGGGAGGGAATCGGCTTAGTCTGGTTTTTTGATGGTTTCAGACAATGAGGTCAACTTAACCACATAATTGAGATATGGATCTTCGCTTCAGTTAACAGCACATCAGCAACTCTGAGCTCACAGTCCAGGCTGAGACACCAGCTCAGCGCTGGGGGAGAGCGAGAGAGAGCGAGAGAGAGAGAGAGAGACACCGTCCTTCGGCTGAGATGTTAAACCTCACTCGCTCCCTCAGGCTGAGCCCTGTTCAGGCGGACATTAAAGATCTTGGGATACCGTAGTTGTTTGGGTGGAATAGTTAGCGAAGAGGTTAGATCCCTCGCCTCGCAAGCCAGAGGACCCGGGTTCGATACCCGGGCGGGTCAGGTCAGGGCGAAACCTTAGGCAAGTTTCCTTACCCCCCCCTACCCCACACACACGCGCACACACACACACACACACCCACCCGTTTACCAGTAGGAACCCGGTTGTTAGTCGATTGGCGGATCCCTTAGTCACTCAATCCAAGACTGTATGTGGGGACGCTGCTGTGTGCAATTGGCTGCACGTTTCGCCCACAAAACACAGTCACTACACTTTATAGTATATTCTGTGAAGCTCTTTGACACGTCTTGACGACGTGATGAGGTGCTGTGTCAAACGCCAGGATTATGATTATATTATGATTATTATTATAATTATCACACTAATTTGGGCGGGATAATTATCACAAGAAAAATGTAGTGACTGTTTTTTTGGTCAAAAGCATCATGTTGGGGTACACAGGATAAATGACTGATTTAAGGGTGGTCGGGGTGGGGGGGGGGAGAATTTTGAAATGGTGCATTTCCTATCTCTGTATCTCTTTGTTGAGGTTTTATATGTGAGACAGGAACCACATAAGGTACAATACATAAGACAGGAAGAGATTGTGGTTGAAAGGTTTCCTCGCTCTGTGCCTCACCACACGAGCACTTCGAGAAACAACAACAACACATGACATTTATACAGAACCTTTCGTGTCAGGAGGACGTCCCAAGTTGCTGGACAGTCAGAGATTTGGACCCGAGCTGGGGGTTGGGATCAGGAGGGGGTGGAGGGCGGGGAGGCTGGGGGTAGGAGGGTGACCGAAGACGTAGTTGGTCGAAGAGGAGGGTCTTGAGATAGGCGTTGAAGGAGGCGAGGGAGGGAGGCACTGTGGGATGGAGTTCCACAAGGTGGGGGCAGAGAGGCTGAAGGCCTGACTGGTGATGGTGGGCTGGACTGGGGGAAGTGGGACCAGGCCAGAGCCCGCTGAGCAATTGGTTGCTGCGTTTTCACCCAAAAAACACTACACTTTACAGTATATCCTGTGAAGCGCTTAGCAGCGTGATATCAAATGCAAGGATTATTATTAATATTATATTATTCTTCCCTCTCATTAGAACTTGGGGCAGAAAATGAGGAGACAGTTGGTGTCTTTTGCCCCTCTGGGGGTCATTTTGAGTTTGGTGAAGCTGATGTCACAGCAAGAGAGCTGTGCCCCCCACTGTGACTGCCCTAACCCTCCCCAGGGGGTGGTGAGGTGTCATGCGCAGCAGCTGAGGACAAGCCCTTGGAAATTCCCCTCCAACATCCAACACCTGAACCTTGAAAACAACAACATCTCCATCATCTCCCAGCAAGACCTCTCTGGCCTGGGGCAGGCGGGAACTGGTCTACACAGCCTGGATCTCAGCCACAACCACTTGACCTCGGTGCCAACCCTCGCCTTGACCACTTTGACCCACCTCAAGAGCCTTCACCTCAACGACAATCACATCTCCTCGCTGCTTCCAGGGAGCTTTGCCAACCTCAGCCGTCATCTTGAGGAACTCCATCTGAGCAGCAATCGTGTCCATCTGCTGAGTCCCAATGCCTTTGCCGGCCTTGCCCGTCTGCAGACCCTCACGTTGGGCAGGAACCAAATTGATGTCCTGGTCCCTGGGGCCTTCGATGGCCTGGAGCACCTAGTGTCATTGAAGCTTGACAACAACCACATCTCCTCCATCCAACCCGGGGCCTTCAGAGCCTTGAGAAGCATCAAGGAACTCTTCCTCAAAAACAACAATCTCCAGGTCCTGTCCCAAGGCTCATTGTCTGGACTTGGGCAACTTGAGGTCCTCAGCCTCAGCGGTAACCTTCTAGATTTGCTCCCGAGTGAAATCCTGAGCCTCAGGGAGCTCAGCAAACTGGAGTTGGACAATAACCGCCTCCACCTCCTGTCTCCTGGATTTCTGGCCAGGTTTGAGAAGCTGCTTCTGTTGGAGTTGAGTCGCAATGAGTTGACGGAGGTTCCTGTGGGTGTCTTTGCTAACCTGCGGGACCTAACTCACTTGTACTTGAGTTATAATAATCTGACAGCTCTCCCCTCCACCACCTTCCAAGACCTGGGGAACCTGACTATGTTAAGTCTCTACAACAACCGCTTGGTCACTTTGCCGGGCCTGCTGTTCGATGACCTGGGCAACTTGATGGAAGTCCACTTAGACAATAATCTTCTCTCCTCTCTGCCACCCGAACTGTTTCACAACCAGCTGGAACTGCGCGACCTGCACCTAGCCAACAACGCCCTGACCAGTCTACCTGAGGACATCTTCGACAATCTGACGAACCTCAGGTTCTTGTCCCTCAGCGGCAACCGTCTCCAGGCCATTGCCACCGGAACCTTCCAGAACCTGGGGCAGCTGCGGGAGCTGGAGTTGGAGGAAAACAGATTGAATGAGTTGCCTGGGAAGATCTTTGACCACTTGTCAAAGCTCCGAGTCCTCCACTTAGACCAAAACAGTTTGGATGTTCTCCCTCAAGGCATCTTCCAATATCTGGTCAACTTGAAGGACCTCCAACTCAATAACAATTTCTTCTTCCAAATCTTGCCTGGAACCTTCTCTGGCTTGGAGAAGCTGAAGGAACTCCACCTGGACAACAACTGGCTAGTGAGTTTGGAGCCGGATACGTTTGTTGGCTTGAGGAACATCCAACATATCCACCTGCAGTTTAACCGTCTCTCCCACTTGCCCCCACATCTCTTGGCCGGGATGAGAAGGTTGACAAGACTCCAACTCCATAACAACTATCTCACATCGTTGCCTCACGAGATCTTCCAGTCACAGCAGAACCTCAAAGAACTGCACCTGGATAGGAACCTCATCGCGTCCTTGCCGTTGGACATCTTCGATCACCTTCGTCAGTTGACCCTGCTCCATCTGAACTTCAACAGACTCAAGAGCATCCATCAGGGCACCTTCGATGGGTTGTTGAGTCTCAACAAAGTCTATTTGGATCACAATCCCTGGGAGTGTCATTGTCCAGCCATCGTGTATCTCAGTCATTGGCTGGAGAAGCATTCCAATACAGTCCAAGGAAGTGTAGAATGTTCCTCAGATCGATCCCCAGTTGCAGGCCAATGTAACATCTCCTCAAACCACCCCTTCACTTCCCCCGAGAAAGGACACATTTTCTGTTGCTTGCTTTTTCTCATGGTTTTTAAATGATAATCTTTGTGTTAGATATAGAGTTTACAGCAATAATAATAATAATAGTCCATGTTTAGATGCAGTGTTTACAGCAATAATCCGTGCCTTTGATACAGAGCCTTATCATGTTGTTGA